ACGGGGGTGGGGGGTCCGTGTCTGCGATTCCCCCACACGGTGACGGGTCCGTGTCTGTGTCTATGATTCCCACCCCCCCACACACACACACACACAGTGACGGGGGTCCGTGTCTGTGATTTCCCCCACAGACATCGACGGGACGGGGGTCCGTGTCTGTGATTACCCCACATGGGGATCACTGTCCTTCTGTACAGATAAAAGTGAAGCTATGAGAAGAGAACCGAGAGAGAATCTGAAACTCAGGGCAGAACCTCCCCACAGAGCTAGCAGAAGTACGAGGACCTGAAGCATCTCTTGCTGTTGGGTGTAGTTTTGTGATGCCAATGTATAATGCTTATCTTGAGTTTGTTTGTCCTAAACTGGATGATATTTGAGGTGGAATGTAGTATAATGTTAATTGGTAATGTTAATGTTAGCCCAGAGGGTGGTGTATATTCACCACTCAGAAAGCCACTGAGCTAATCCTCACAGTGAAGTTAAAGTGGACAGTATGAGTGTCTCAAATACAGCGCAGTTAGATACAGAGTAAAGCTCCCCTACACAGTCCCTAAATCAAACACCTTACCCTCAACAACCTATCCTTCAACTGCTCCCACATCCTACAAGCTAAATGGATGGATATGGACACCTGTTTGGGTCAAAGCTATGCCTACCTTTTTGTAGGATACATGGAACAGTCCCTCTTCCACTGTTACACTGGCACCATCCCTCACCTCTTCCACCGCTACATTAAAAGAAAGTCCTGATGAAGGGTCCCAACCCGAAACGTCGACTTTCCTGCTCCTCTGCTGTCTGACCCGCTGTGTTCCTCCAGCTCCACACATTGACAAACGCTCCCAGGACGGGGACAGCATGGGGTGAGATACAGAGTAAAGCTCCCGCGACACTGTCTCCCCCATCAAACACTCCCAGGGCAGGGACAGCATGGGGTTAGATACAGAGTAAAACTCCCTCTACACTGTCTCCCCCATCAAACACTCCCAGGACAGGGACAGCACGGGGTTAGATACAGGGTACGGCATCCTCTACACTGTCATCCCCAACAAACATTCCCAGGATAGGGATTGCATGGAGTTAGATACAGTGTAAAGACCCATCTATTCATTTGAACATTAAAATGAAGTTTATACTGTCCCCATCAAGCATGTACAGGAAAGTGTTAACAGCTGTGAGAATTTTTGTTATTCATCTAGCATTTTATAGCCCTTCCCTAATTAAAGGGCGGTTAAGAATCAATCACATTTCTGCACCCTGGAGTCCTATGTAGGCTCAGACTAAGTAAGGATGGCAGACTTCCTTCCCTTAAGAACATGTGTGAACCAGATGGAATTTCCTACAATTAACAACAGTTTCCTAAGACTAGAGTCTTAGTTCCAGATTTTTTTTATTGAATTCTTGTTCCACCATAGCCAAGGAGTGTCCCTAGAACATTACCTGTATCTCTGGATTAATAGTCTAGCGGCAATACCAACCAGCAATGCCCACATCCCGCAAGTAAATAAAAGTAGCACTCAGCCGTTGCCCTAACCCACCCCTACCTACAGCCACTGTACCTCCGAAGGGAGCAGTTGTGGACTCTCAATTGTGGGTGCATTAGCACTGAGGTATAAGTGTTGACCCTTTCCTTCCCCACGACAACCTGCTCAAAGCCCTGTGGAGGTGGTGCTGAATTGGAGGTTGGTGGCGATGCCAACTGCAGTCAAGTAGCCGGCCCACCCCACAGAAAAAAGGAATGTTTGCAGGTGAAGAGAAACATAGCTGTTCAACCAGATGTAAAGAATCCAACACCTCCCACCACCCTTCGTGCCCCCAAAACCTTGCTAACTGACAGACCGAAGCCCAACGTTAGGACTGTTTCTCCTTCACTCTCCTCAGGGCTTGGTAAAGCCTCCTGAGGGCTAGGAGGGTGAGCATGATGAGGGAGGCTGCAACAAGGCCCAAGCACAATGCCACGTCCAGGCTGTAGTAGGCGTACCAGGGCATGCCAAAGGAGGCAGGGCGCAGATGGGCAGCTCCGCCGTGCCGCAGGACAAACTCTACCCAGAAGGCTGCGCGTTGCAGGGGGGTCTGCGGCTGGTCACGGTGCAGGGCTGAGAGCCGGGCCATGGCCTCCCGGTACGAGGGCTGGTTCAGGACCTCGGTCAGGCCATCCAGCAGCTGCTGGGAGTCCAGGTGGGCTACATCCAGAGTGCGGGCAGCTCCCCGGCTCTCCAGCCGCACCAAGTTGTCATGCTGGTCGAAGATCAGCGGCAGGCCCAACACTGGCACTCCGTGATAGATGGCCTCGTAGATGCTATTGGTGCCGCCGTGGGAGATGAAGACCTGGGTTCGGGGGTCTCCAAGGATGTCGTTCTGCGGTACCCAGCGCATCAGAAGGGTGTTGTTGCCCAAGTTGGCTGGCCTCTTGCCCTCATACTTCCAGATCACTCTCTGAGGCAGCTGGGCCAAAGCCTTAGCGATGACGGCTGCCAGGTCAGCAGGGACCTGTGTCACAATGGTGCCCAGGGACATGAAGACCACCCCGTGCTCGCCGGAGCCCCGGGCGAACTCCTCCAGGTCTGGTGGCAGTGGCCGCGCTGGTTGGCACTGCATCCCCCCCACGTAGACCACGTGGGGCATGGTGGGCCGTGGGAACTCGAAGACAAAGTCCACCTTCATCAACCACAGGTCAGCACGCTGCATCAGCGTCTCAATGTCGGTCCCTGGCCCCAGGAACCGGTGGCACAGCTCCTCGTAGCTGGAGTAGACCAAGGCACCGGCCAGCTTGAAACTGATGAGGTAGTGCACGGCGTTGGCCAGCCGCTGCAGGAAGGGCATGTTGGGGGTGTAGCACGAGCCCACCATGGGCACATAGGAGGTGGGCGACGGGGCAATGAGGTAATGGCCGTCACCGTTGGACAACCAGCGGGTGTGGTAGACCAGAGGCAGCTGCAAGTGGTGGGCCAGCATCAGCCCGGCCGGGAAGAAGGGATCAGTCAGCACCAGGGCAAAACTGGCAGCTCGCAGTTTTTCCATCAGCTGGCCGTCCTCGAACAGGAGGCGAATGAACTCCCGCTGTTGGTGGTGAGTGTCCCACAGCATCTTGCGGATGATCTGTGTGTTGCGTACGAAGGCGGTCAGGGTTCGCCCGTCCCGCAGGATCTCCAGCGACTCCAGCAAGAACTGTGACATCATCTCGCGGTCCTCTATGATGCCCAGCTTGCCGCGCATGGACACAGTGAAGCACTGGTAGAGGGAGGGCTCCTCGGAGATGTACCAGCTGGAGGATGAGCGCAGCACGCTGATGTTGTGCCCACGATCATGCAGCTCCTCCAGGAGCATGCGCATGCTGAGCCAGTGGCTGCCATCCAACGGCACCACCAGAATGTTGGAGCAGCAGGCCAGCGGAGATAGGGTTAGGGTTATCACCGTGGCGATCTTCAGCCAGCTTCCCCAGCTCTCCAAGCTCCCACAAACCATTGTTGGTGATGTCCAAACTCCTGTGGGCCATTTAAAACAAAAGAATCATTACAGAGGACTGCCCAACTGGCTCAGAGATTCAGGCACAAACGTGGGATTGGGCTCATACTCAAGGATGGTCTCAAGACCCTGGTAAAGGGACAGTGTGATGTCTCTGGCCTGGGAGTGTCTCCTGGGACAGTGCAGAGAGAGCTTTACTCTATCCAACCCTGTACTGTCCCTCTCGTGGGAGTATTTGATGGGGGAGCGATGTAGAGGGAGCTTTACTCTGTATCTAGTCCTGTGCTGTCCCTGTCCCAGTAGTGTTGGATAGAGACAGTGTAGATAGAGCATGACTCTGTACCTAACCCCATGATGACCCTGTCCTGGGAGTGTGTACTGGGACAGTGCAGAGGGAGTTTTACTCTGTATCTAACCCCATGATGTCTCTGTCCTGGGAGTGTTTGAATGGGTCAGTGTAGAGGAGGCTTTACACTGTATCTAACCCCATGATGTCCCTGTCCCTGGGAGTGTTTGATGGGGGACAGTGTTGGGGAAGCTTTATTTTCAGTTTAAAAGAGTAGAGGAAGCATTAGTCATAGAGTCATACAGCACGGAAACAGACCCTTCAGTCCAACGGTTTCACACTGACATATTTCCAAACTAAACTAGTCCCACCTGCCTGAGTTTGACCCATAAAGCTCCAAATATTTCTTATTCATGTACTTATCCAAACATCTTTTAAACATTGTAACTGTACATTCTCTGGCAGTTCACTCCACACAAGAACCACTCTCTGCATTAAAAAAATTGCCCCTCAAGTCCTTTTTAAAACATCTTCCTCTCACCTCAAAAATATGCTCCTAGGTTTGAACTCCCCCACCCCAGGGAAAAAGCCCTTGCTGTTCACCTTATTGATGTCTCTTGTGATTTTATAAACCTCTATAAAGTTACTCCTCAGTCTCCAACACTCTAGTGAAAAAAGACCCAGCCTATTTTTGTTTTAACTTAAACCCTCCATTCCTGGCAGCACCCTGGTAAATTTTTTCCGAACCCCCTCTAATTTAATAGTACCTTTCCTATAGCAGGGCGAAAAGAACTGTATTCCAGTATAACAGTATTCCAGAAGAGGCTTCACCAAAGTCCTAACGTTGTAATTCCTATACTCAAAGGTCTGAGCAATGAAGGCAAGCATGCCAAACACCTTCTTAATCGCCTTGTCTGCCTGTCATGCAAATTTCAAAGAATTTTGTACCTGAACCTCAAGGTCTGTCTGTTCTCGCAACACTACTCAGGACCCTACCATAAGAGTAGAGAGTAGTTTACTTTCAGTTTAATAGTGGTAGAGGTAGGTTTACTCTGTATCTAACCCCATGCTGTCTCTGTCCTGGGAGTGCTGGATGGGGGGGGCAATGTAGAGAAAGCTTTACTTTCAGTTTTAAAAGAGTAGAGGGAGCTTTATTCTGTGTCTGACCCAATGCTGTCCCTTTCCTGGGAGTGTTCGATGGGGACAGTTCAGTGGGAGCCTTACTGTGTGTCAAGTTTTGTGCTGTCCATCTCCTGGCGGTGTTTGAAGGGGGTGGTGTCGAGGAGGGCTTTACATTCAGTTTCAAAATAGAAGAGGGAGCTTTCCTCTGTATTTAACCCTGTGCTGACCTTGTCTTGGGAGTGTTTGATGGGGACAATGTACAGGGGCTTTATATCTAACTACATAGTGTACCTGTCCTGAGGGTGTGTGTCTGTTTTTTGCAGAGCTGATTTGATGAACGTTTCCCCTTTATTCAATAACACTGCTACAGATGAGCTCACCATTTATTTTTTTAAATGGATCTTACTGAGCAGGATATTGGTGTTAGCTCATTTCATATCCACTGTGACTGTCTTATGGTGTACTGTTCTGTATCAGATATTCTTTAAAAGGTGAGATATATCCATTATAGGAGCAAATTACTACAGATGCTGGAATCTGTACTGAAAACAGGAAATGCTGGAAATCACAGTGGGTCAGGCTGCATCTGTGGAGGGAGAGCAAGCTAACGTTTCAATTTTGGATGACTTTTCATCAGATTTGGTTGTAAAGTGCATTGTCTCAAGATGAGATGTTGTTTCTCCAGTTTGCGCTGTGATTCACTGGAGCACTGAATATGCCAAGGACAGACAAGTGGGCATGCGAACAGGATGCTGTGTTAAAATGACCGGCTACAGGGAGGTCGGGATCAGGAAAAGTCATCTAGACTCAAAACATTAGCTTACTCTCCATCCAGTGATGTAGCTGTTACCTTGCAAGCTCATTCAACTAGCTCCCATTCACTGGGAAGGTGTGGTGGAAACAGTTAGAGTCTCCAACCTCACTCAGTTCTTCTAATTCACAACCAGGCTAAGGCAGGCAGTTAACCTGCACCTTGGAATAGAACAAACACTGTGGGCTGCAGACCCAGTGCAACAGTATGAATACTCATTGGCTGCACTGTACTCCAACCATCACTGCTGAATGGCCTCTTCCTGTTCCTGTGTAACAGGTTCCAGGAGGGGGCTGAATGGCCTCCTGTTGTTGTGTAACAGGCTCGAGGAGGAAGCAGAATGACCTCCTCCTGTTCCTGTGTAACAGGCTCAACGAGTTATCGAAGATGCTGGCGATAATACAGGGACAGGCAGGCATTGACTCCGATGCTATTGATGTAATGTCTGTACAGCTCCTGCAGGTATGGGCATAGAGGTATGTTTAATATCTGATTTCATGGCATGCTTTTGAAAGCCAAGTATATTCACATCTGCCTGGCCAGAATGAGAAATATTTCTAGGTGAATAACAGCTGTTGTGAGGTGTGGTCACAATTCTAATATTGCAGTATGCCAAATTGCACACAACACAATTGCACCATGGCAGATGTGATCGGCACCCAGACCATCTGTTTTGATTCACTGCTGTTGTTGCAGAACTGACAGGTTATTTGGGGGATACAATCCGACAGTGCAGTGCACCCTACACCCCTTTCTATCTCTGGCACCTCCTCTAGCCCCTACACCACTCCCTACCTCTGTCACCTCCTACAACCCCTCCCTATCTCTGTCACCTCCTCCAGCCCCTACACCCCCACCCTATCTCTGTCACCTCCTTCAGCCCTCTACACCCCCTCCCTGCCTGTCACCTCCTTCAGCCCTCTACACCCCCTCCCTATCTCTGTCACTTCCTTCATCCCCCTACACCCCCTTCCTATCTCTGTCACCTCCTCCAGCCCCCTACACCCCCTCCTTATCTCTGTCACCTCCTTCATCCCCCTACACCCCCTCCCTATCTCTGTCACCTCCTTCAGCCTCCTACACTCCTCCCAACTCCTGCCTGTCCAACTCTACAGCTCTCCCTTTCTATCTATAGGCTCCTCTAACCCTCCAAAATGTCTGTGCTGTTCCCTTTTCCATCCTTTGAGCATCATTGATTCCCATTGCTCTGTGGAATTCCCTCCCTAAACCCTTCTCTTCCTCTCCATCTCCCCCTCTATCTCTGTTTCTTTCTCTCACTTCCATCCCACCTTCAGGACGCTCCTTAAATAGTGACGCCTTGGACCAAACATTTTGTTGCATGCCCCTAATGTCTCCTGATATGGCCCACTGTCAGATTTATGCTCCTGTGCAGGTAACATCAAAGACACTTTATAGCTAGAAGCCTGAAAGCCCCCCTCCAAACCCGCCACAAACACTAATCCCAATTTGGAATTATGTTGGCTGTTCTTTCAGTGGCGCCAGGTCAAAATCCTGGAACTCTTCCCCCTTAATGGCACTGTGTGGTATGTCTACACCACATGTCCTGCTATCCCACACTCTTTGGGCCATTTCAATGTGATCTATCTGCACCAGAGAGAAAAGGTGATGTCAAGCCATGTCAGGATATCACATTTCAGAATGGAGTTATCATTAATCAATTCCAATTAGCTTCACTCCTTGTGTACTGTTGGGGACTGACCGTTGAGACACCCAGGCTGTGATTCAGTGACTGTGGAGAGGGTGACCTGGGCTGAGAAGGGAGTGGAATATTTTCCTTCTCTCTCACTCTGTTTTTCCTCTGTCTCATTTGCACTCTCTCTCACTGTCATTCTAGATATAGAATCCCTACAATGTCAGAGCAGGCCATTCAGCCCATTGAGTCCACACCTACCCTGTCCCTGTAACCCTGCATTTTGCAATACCTAGCCTGCACATCCCCGGACAATTTAGCCAATCCACCTAACCTGTACATCTTTGGACTGTGGGAGGAAACCAGAGCATCCGGAGGAAATTGAACCCGGATCTCTGGTGCTGTGAGGCAGCAGTGCTAACCACTGAGCCACCGTGCTGCCATTCTCGCTCTCTCGCTGCGTCTCTCTGTGTCTCTCTCTGACTCTCTCTTTCTCTGTCTCTTTCTCTGTCTCTCTCTCTGTCTCTCTCTGACTCTCACTATCTCTGTTACCCCCTGTCTCCCTCTCTACCTCTCACTGTCACTTATTCTCTGTCACTCTCTCCCTGCCTCTGTGTCACTTTCACTCCCTCTGTCACTCTCTTTTTCTGTCACTTGCTGTCACTTTCTCTATCTCTGTCTCTTTCACTGTCTCTCTCTTTCTCTCGGTCACTTTCACTGACACTTTCTCTCTTTCTCTGTCATTGTCTCTCTCTCTCTGTCTCTATCACTTACTGTCACTTTCTCTTTCTTTTTCTCTTTCTCTGTCACTCTCTCTGTCTGTCGGTCTGTCTGTCTCTCTCTCTCTCTCTCTCTCTCTCACACATACACACCATATTCACACTTTGTCTTGTTGATCTGTGCAGACTCTGCCCCCCTGAAGAGAGCCTGTGGCACTTGACTGGGTCTTGGTCACCCAGAAGTTTAGGTCTGGCTGACCGTGACCCAGTGTGTGAAGGCAGCCGGGTGCGGAACACATTAGGAGCTGGAAACCATGGGGGCCCCCTGTCCCCTCGGGGAGTGGGAAGGGGCGATTACTGTGTGATTTGGCAGCGACCTCTGCTAGAAGCTCTTGCTTTGTTGAGCACATTAGTCACGGGCTGTGGTCATG